TTGGAGCTCACCACGTCTTGACCTCCTTTGCTCTCATGTAATTTTAATGAAGACAGAATTGAATTTTATTAGGGATGAGACCAATGCACTTGAGAACAGAATCTCTGTCTTTTCTACCCAAAAATGGCAATAAGAAGGGTGGTGATGAAAACAGACAATAACAATGGAAAATGAATCTTTTCATTATTATAAGATTTTATTTAAGATCGAGCATAAAGATATTAACAGCAATAGAAGTGTTTTATGTGCTTTATGTGACAATATTTTGAATAATAATGCCTGATAGAGAGCATTAGTTTCTGTGCTGCTGGGGAAGAGGAAGGACTGCTGGGATAACAAATAAGAAGGGATGGCATTTTCTGATGCTCAGTGCAGCACATTTGCTGCCACTGAGGTAATTCAGAGATATATGTAATAAAAGTCTATAGAACATGCACAGCTTTTAGCAGTTGTTTGCATTCACTGTTTTATTGCAATTACTGTTACTCCTGTTCTGTTTCTTAGTGATACTTTGGATTCTTCTTTGAGTTCCACCTCAGCTTCTCCATCTTGTTGGCACTGCAGGGTCTGATGTTCCTCACAGTCAGCTGCTGTTCTCACACACAGAACTGCTTCCCTTAAATACTCTTCTGTTTTTAATCTTTTTTCCTCTCATTAGGAAAGATTCTGGCATATAAGAAATGAACTTCTCGTCAGAGGCAGTATAAACCTCTAAAAGTATCTGAATGCTTTCTACCTGGAAAGCAACAGAATAGTGAACTAGATGTCATAGTGTGTTTGGTACGTGCACTTTGGGGACAAAATGTTTTGATAAGCTTTTTGTATTTTTGAGGGAATGGAGGAGACAAGACAGGTTGAAGAAAGATGCCTTGTGCAATTCCTGAGAGGGAGAGTGGTGTTCCTACAGTCTGTAAACTTACCATAGACCTTTGAATGCTCTTGTAACGGGAAAAACGTGCTTTTATTCAGAGATTTAAAAAAATCGTAAAACCCGTAACAACATATATTATCCCATCACAGATGCACATTTGCAGGAGAAGCTTTCTCACTACTGCATTATAAAGACACATTTTCAGCAAAATAATTTGTTCTGGATGTTGCATTGCTATTCTTTAACAGCAGTCTGTAAATTTAGTGGCCTCTGTCCTGGAATATAGGCTTCCTAGGCTGGAGGTCATTTGGGGTTTTTTGCAGTGACATATGTGGCTGCCTCGGGAACTTGCCTGCAGTGTATCAGATAAGTTAGAAGAAAATAAAATGTCCACTTGGAGAGCAGAGGTTAAATCTGGAGCTCATTGCTTATTTTGGCAGCATGCTGCTGTGATGTCTTTGTGGACACTTGATTTCTGTTGTTGGAAATTTATTGACTTAAAAAAATAATTAGGTGTCTGCTGTCAGCTTGGAAATGTCCCTAGCTGGGGAGGAGTGGTTATTACAGCACTTACTCTGAACAAAATCTGGATTTATCCAGTGATGGGAATGTGGTTTGCTCTTGCCTATATTCCATTCCTTCTACCTGCCTCTAAGGTATTGTCGCGACAAGGGAAGAATGAGACCCTTGATACGAGAATCAACAAGCTCCATTTATTATTTAAATAAGTCAACTTTTATACATTTTAGTTTGTTTTGGGTACATGCTTACAACAAGGTGATTGGATAGCTCAGTCTGTACACGTGTCTCATATCTCCAGTTCATTGGACCTGATGTTCTGTCCACGCGGCCTGACATCATTCTTGGCATGTAGAGGCTTTCATAATTAGGGGCTTTCTGAAATCTGCAGGTGTACTTTTATCTATACTTTCTCAAGGCTTTCTTGCTCTAAACATACTATGTTCTCAAACCTTATAATTAGACACGCGGCTAACAAGTATAAACATTACATATTTTCACATAGTCTATAAGTATAAACATTACAGCTTACAGCTTCTAAAGTCATGTCAAGCAAGGCCTACAGAAATGCAATAGAAATTGTTCACACAATTTGAATCCTGCCACAAGGTATAGCAGAGAAGTCAACTTTTTGCAACAGTTCTGTGTTCTCCCACAGGCACCCAGCACCTGGGGCGATGCTGAGCCATCCTCTGGGTCATCATGCCCAACCCAGCCCCTCATGGGGTGGGCAGAGGCTGCACTGAGGGACTGCCCCCCTCCCACTGCCCAAACGACCCAAGACAGAGAAAGGAACTGCAAAACCACTCTTTAATGAACTGAAGAAGAATGAGGGTGGGGCTGGGGGCCTGGATGCAGGTCACTGGCTCAGGGTGCCTTCTGGCCTGTGTGCTGTGTCACCGCTGTCGTCGTCTTTTTCTCGGCCGGGACGTGGATGTGGCCCTGCGGGAAGGTCCCTTGTTCCGTGGGGGTGCTGGCTGGCGCCGAACACGGGGTCTGGCTGCTGCCACCTCTCTCGTTTTGGGGTCCACCTGGGTGGTGGTGATGCCTGGTGGCAGCTGCAAGTGGTTCGTAACAACCTGGGGCTGCTTCTGCATTGTCTCCTCCCCCAGCTGGGCCACGCGGGGCGAGGGAGGCCGGGGGTCACTGAGTGGGCTGAGGGAGGGGGTCAAGTTGGGGATGGTGGGTACGGCATCCTCGCTGTTCCTTTGCTGTGCCTCCATTGCTGGCTCCTTGGGACAGTCGTCTTCCAGCAGGCATTCACAGAACTCGAGGAGCTCATCGAGGTCCTCAGCGGTCAGGCTGGGGGCGTTGGCGACCAAGGCGGTGTCCTCACTGTCCTCTTGAGCCACCTCCACTTGTCCCTCAGGGCAGCCACTGTCCGCCAGTAACTCAAAGAGGTCGTCCAGGAGCTCACTCAAGGTGGGGCTGTTGGGGGCATTGACGATGGTGTCCTCACCCGCCGGGGTTTCAGGCTGGGTGAGCAGGTGGTGGTTGGTGGTGTCCTCTGCCTGTTCAGGAATGACCTCTGTGCTGGTGGCTGGTCCCTCCTCGGGCAGATCCGTGGAGTTCCTTGGAGCGGGGGTAGTAACCACTGTTGAAAATGGAACCCCAAGAGATTGAAGTTTTCCTCAGCTAGACTGCCTACCCATGGGCTCTGCTACCCCCTAAACTCACCTTTGGGCTCCATCGTGGTTCTGCCTGCCAGGGCAGGTCGGTGGTGGACACACAACATACCAGAGCCCATGGGATACAGGGGCTCTCCCTGGACCACAGCCCTTGGCTGGTGGGGCAGAAGCGCCCCCATCACCAGCTGCTGTCCCCAGCCATAGGCAGAAGGCCAGGGAGGCAGTTGCACTGGCCAGGGAAGCTGCACCATGGGGAAAAGTGACAACACCTGCCCCGGGGCCCCCAGAGGCCCTGGGACCTCCTGCCTGACGGTGGCTGGGACCAACTGGTGGGTGCCGGTGTGGAGCTGGACAGGCCCAGAGCACAGTGGCAGCCCTGGGACAGAGGGCAGCTCCCAGGGAGCTCCCGGGGCTGGCCTGGCCAGGGCAGAGAAGCTCACGCTGGCCACCTTCAACACTGTCACCTGGAGAGGGAACCTCTCTGTTGGGGGAAGCAAAAAGGGGTGATGAGGTGAGATAGTGGGGGGTGTAGCTCGTTGGGGGTACCTGGAGGGCAGGACTCCCAGGAGGAGTGGGGGCCTGCTGCTGTACCTGCCATGGTGCTTGGCCAGTTTGGGGTTTGTTTGGGGCAGGCAAGCAACATTCTGGGGGTTCTGTCACCAAGGTAACTGTTTGGGACAAACAGGGTTCTGGGGATTCCATTGGGTTGGTTGGTGATCCCACCAACACTCACTCCAACCAGCATTGTGATGGAATGAAGAGCTGCCCACCACCTCTGGCATGAAGGTGCCCTCCGTTCCCTCCCCACTCTGTCCCCACTCCCAGCACCAAAGCTGTTGCCAGCTCAGGAACAGCAAACTGGGAATACCCTGTTGTTCCCAAAGGGAGCCGTTCTCCGTGGGACAGCCCAATCCCACCCAGACCCCCTCTGGGCACGGCACAGGGAGAGCTGCACCTTTCCCACTCACCTGCCGGGTCTCCATCAGCCGTTTTGGCAGTTGCCGGGTTCAGATGCCACATCCAAGGGCGGTTGCAGAGCTCTCGGCCCGGCCCAACTGCCCGCTGGCCCTGGCACTGCACCTCCACCCATTCCACAGCCCTGGGGTTCCTCATGGCCTGGCCACCCCACCCGAACATTAATGGTGCACACTGGGCACTGTTGATGCTCCACAACTGCTGTTCAGGAACATTACGGTGGCTCCAGGCCCAGTTCCACTGAAGTCAATTAGAAGCTTCCAAATCAATCCTTCCTTCCCCTCCTGGCGTTTGTGTGGGAAATGGAGTTGTTGGGTGGAACTGAAAGGGATGTGACCCTGGTCCAAAATTGTCTCTGTCATTTCGGGCCCAGTTTTCAGAGCTGCTGAACACAAGTCTGCTGAAGTTAAACGAAGGCTTTGGTGGTCAGTCACTCTGAAACCAACTCCAGAATTGGCAACAGCTCTCATTTTGTCTCACTCTGGTGTTATCCAAAATTAGGTTTCAAGCAGTGTGGAAGGGCATTTCAATATGTTCTTTCTGCAAATATTGCAGCAAAATGAACTGGTATGTTATAAAGTAGATTCCGTTTTATTTAGGTTTTATCTTCATGCCTTTAATGAAGTTAATTTTTAAATGAACCTCAAAGTTTAAATAACTCAAAGTGTCTTTCCTTGCAGCTAGAATATAGTAGGTCTTTAGTCTGATCTGCCATAAAAAAATTGAGGATAAGCTGTAAAATACCTTGGGAAATGTATTTTGGCTTTTCCTGTTCTGGGTGATGAATTGGGTAAATTCTGCTGTCGTTTGGTGCAGAAACCCAAGTTCAGATTTCCGTTGTACATCTGAACTTGCAGGAGGGTTTGTTTTATTTCATGACAGTAAAGAAAAACGAGTTTCATCTTTTTATGGGGTGGAGTTCGGTGTTTTGGTGGGGTTTTTTATTTATTTTTATTTTTATTATTAGTCTTTAAAACTCTTAAATCTTCGCTTCTTTACAAGTGTTTCAGCTGTGTGGTGCCAGCTGGCAGGGCAGAGCCCCTGCAATGACTGGAGTGCCTGGTGTCAGGGTACTGGTCTTATGTCAGCTCTGGGGTTTGTGTGACGTAGGTGGGTCATGGGAAACTGCTTTCAAGGCCTATCTTGGGGTGCTGCAGTGTCTGCTCAATGTTTCTTGTGTCTGAGGACTCCCTGACACTGGTGTCTGTGAGAGGAAGTATTGAGACTGTTTGTGTGCCCAGCAGATGGTGGGGCAGCGTGGGGGCAACCCAGCAGGGTCTGAGAGCAGCAGATCTCACCTCCAGGCTGTTACAAGCTCTGGACAGCAACAGAGCTGAATTCTTTGAAAATTGTGTCCACATCTTCTTTTATGACTAATAGGTGTCTGCTTAATAGCTACTAAGTGTCAGAACTTAGCTATTGAAGACTTACCTGGTATAAAGATAAATGCAGAGAATGTTTTGGAGTAGGCCATTCACAGCTGTGAATCTGTGGGTTTCCTATATTTTATTTTCTTGGGTTTTATTTCTGTTTTTTTCTTAGAGACAGAACTCTGTGAAAAGGGACTGGAGTGCAAATCCAATGAGGAGCAGCTCAGGGAGCTGGGGGGACTCACCCTGGAGAAAAGGAGGCTCAGGGGGGACCTTCTGGCTCTGCAAGTTCCTGAAAGGGGGGGGAACTGGGGGGTCGGGCTCTGCTCCCAGGGAACAAGGGACAGGAGGAGAGGAAACGACCTCCAGCTGTGCCAGGGGAGGCTCAGGTTGGATATTAGGGAAATTTTTTCATGACACATGTTGTAAAGCATTGGCACAGGCTGCCCAGGGCAGTGGTGGAGTCACCATCCCTGGAAATATTCACAAAATGTGTGGATATGGCATGTGAGGACATGGTTTACTGATGAACATGGTGGTGGCTGGGTTGATGGTTGGATTCAATGACCTTAAAGGTCTTTTCCAAGTTTAATGATTCTGTGATGATTCTAAAAAGATATAGAGTGCTGCCACTGTACCAAAGCAACGTTGGGATGGTTTATAAGTTATTCTTGGAAACACATCCTTTGATTTGCAAAGATGAGGTGGTCAAACATCTTTGAAAATCAAATCTGGTAGTTTGGATATCATCAGAAATTACTCTGATTTTCTGATGTCTGATAGTAAATTCACAGGATTTCATAACTGAAAATATTGTATGTTTAAAAGACTGTCATGAAAATACAACCGTGTAGGAATCCTCATCTATTGTTTCACTGAGTTGCATGTCAAAATTAGCAACTGTCAAAAGCTTAACTGTGAATCACAGAACTTACTCTGACATCAGGTAATGAGCCAAATTCCATCCAAATGCCATATACTTTCCCTGAGAATAAAAAAAAAAAGGCTGCCTGCAGCATTTTGCAAAGATCATGTCTGATGATGATGAGTGATGGTCATTTTTGATGATGGTGAGGTTGTGTGTGTGTATCTGAAATACTGGACTTTAGGATGTGTTTTACTAGCGTTGAAGGTTGTAACTCCAATGACAAAACTGAAGAGCTGCAAGTTTTAAAGGAAAACTGGTATTGTAAAGCAAGTTGATAAGGAAATTATGAAAATTTTGAACATCAGACCCTACAACACTATATTTAGATTGAGTTTATAACTGTTGGGATGTAGAAATAGGATCCTAGATCTCTGCCTTCTCTTTCATGTTGGAATTGGTTAGGAACCTCTAAAGATTGCAAAACATCTGTTTAAAGAGCTGACCTTCTGGGCCAACTCCAGGAAAAGACTTGGCTGTGAAGCCCCAAAAGGGATTGACTAAAATAAAGTCTTTCAAAAGGAACGAAATAGTCAAACAGACATGCAGCAGGAAGGGGTATTTAACAGCACCTCATCAAGTCTGGCAAACTAAGCATTTTATTCTTCTTTTCACCTCTACAGAAACTTTTTCCTTCCACTTTGTTTTCCTTCTCTGATCCTTCTAGTCCCAGAGTTTAATTCTTCATTCTTTGTGACAGCTTTGATTCCATGGTATGTGCCAGATCATCTCTGTAACACTAAGACAAACAATTCTAAATAGCACAGAACACAGCTTGTCTTATGTGAGTGGCCTTCACTGTGTTTTGGGAATTTAAAGTTCTGTAGACTTGTAACAGTTAGCAGAGTAAGGCCCTAAGTAAATACACTCGCAAATAGAAAAGGGATAAGGGAAATAAACTGACAGTGATAATACTGTGCACCACTCACAGATGGTTTCTTACAAAGAAAAAAGTGAGTAACTTAAAATTACAGCCTCCAGGTTTGCCTGCTCCTCATGAAAAGACAAATACAGTTGTGGTTCACTCAGCTGCAGATAGTTTTTTATTTGGTTAATAAACTGAAGTGTATCCAAAACTCTGGTTCAAACAGCAAGCAAGCCAAAAAAAAAAACCAAAAAAAACCAAACCCAAACAAACCAAGATATTCATGAACACTTGCCAGTAAAGCATTTATAATCTGATTTTTCATTCTATTCTGATTTCTGCAAATATTTTGATTATTGCAGAGCCTGGATACTAGTTTTCTAAATGTAAATTTTATGCATTAATTAGGCACCATTAAGCATTTCTCCCAAAACACATAGATTAAGCATTTCAATGTGCTTTTCTAATTACATTTAAAAAAAAATCAAGCTGTAAAATTGCCTGGAGTCAGTTTGTACCCACACATGCAGCTCTCATTAATGTCAGAGAGTGTTAAATGTAGAGGGAGAGAAAATTAGACTTGGGATAAACCTTATTAAAATGTGCGTAGGTGTTTAAACTTAAATCTGTATTGGTTAGTGGAGAAATGCCTAAATAATAGGGTCTGGTGTAGATCCAAGGCACAATAATAATTTCCCAAACTCGCCATGTGTGGGATTCATCCTACTTCACTTCAGGCATCTTCACTGGAGGCTGAACAAATGGCTTTCATTTCCCACTTTCATTTGGGGATGTGCCTCCCCCGGACCTGGCACAGGCAGTGTCCCCTGGGGTCCCTGGGGGTGGCTGCCCAGCCCAGTTTGGCTGGGATGCTCAAGAGGTGAGAGGGAGGTCAGGCAGGTAGGATGATGCCATGGGCCAACAACTTGTAGGATTGTAGGACTGACACCCCACACAGAGAAGAAAACCTGGGCAGATCCCAAGGCTCCTGGGCCTCTTCCTTGCCAGCCCTTTGCCCAAGGCCCCGAGGCAGAGGTGGGGCTCAGCCCCTGTGCAGGAATCAGGTACAGGCTGAGCCCCAGGGACACCAGATCCAGGCAGCCTGAGCTCTTCTTCCTGCAACATCTGCCTGGGGCAGCCCAGCCAGGCCTGAGTCTCTCCAGGAGGGGCCAAGCCCAGCCAGAGAGTCACCTCTGCCCCTTCCATCGTGCTCCCTGTCCTGGGCCTTCCAAGAGATAGGTCAGACACCCTCAGCATCTCCAGGGAGATGCTGCAGGGCAATTGCTCCTGCAAGAGCTTTCATTTGATCTGCCAGCTGAAGGAAATCCTGGTTTGGGGAAGAGCTGCCTGAGGCACCTGCCCCGCTGCTACCTGAAGAAGGACATTCTCCAGAAACAAGAGAAATAAAAAAATGTATGAAGACTTGGAAGAGGAGAATAATTTCTCCAGTAGACCATGAATCCACAGCTCCAGCAATGCTCTGGGTGTGCAGGACATAGCACAGCTGTCCTTGTGCACTGGAACATTCTCCTGCAACAAATGTTTTATATCAAACTGGCTTCATGAAATGAACATTCAAAGATAGGGAGGAGGTTGCAAAGTGTCTCCTAACCCAAGAGAAACCATATTCTGCCTGCTCTGGTGTCTTGATGCTATGGTGAAAAAGCCAATTGATTGCCAAGCCACTGATTTGTCATTCATGGCATGGCATATTTGGCTTTTTTTTGACTGTGGGAATAGTTGTGGGGTTTGTGGAGTGAAGCTGACCCACGTGTTTGTGTATTGCTGTGCTTAAACTGAATATGCTTTGTTCTGGAGTGTGATGTGGAAGTCTCAGCTCTGTAGCATTAGTGTTACCCAGGTTTTGCTTATCCTTCAGGAGCAGTAACCCCTGCTACCAACACCACAGGTACTGAAGAACCAACAGTATAATGTGCCTTCATCACACTTGCAGCTTTAGGCAGGTGAACTTATTTGTTTCCTAGCCAGATACATTACTCGTTGTGTTACTCAGATTGTGACCAGATTTGCCTGAGTATTGCTCAATGTCTCCCTCTTAAATTTGTACTCAAGTAGATGAAGTGCTGACTGTGCATTTCAGTAGGGGAAAGAAATCATCTACTTACATTCAGAAGCTCCAAAGCAAAAAGGGTGCTTCATCTCTGTCATCAGGGAGATTTGAGAACCCAAAATAGTTACTGGGCCTGAGCTGGTGGTGTAATTTTGTGAATGCAATGGGTATCGTGTGTCTTGTGTAATATCTCTTCCACTGGGGCTTCTGAATCCTCCCTAGATTCTTTGTAATAACAAGTAATACAGTTTATTAGACAGTATCAAGTTTGCAAATTCAAAATCAGGGGTTCTGTCTATTAGAATCAGACTTGCTGCAAACGCTGAGTGGGCTAACTAAAGGCCTGTAAGGAGCCTGTAACAGGATTGAGACTTGTGCCAAGACTTTTGGTTATTGGAAGAAAAAGAATTTTACCTTACCAAAGTGTTTAGAATTTGTCACATAAGAAAATAGGCAGCTCAGACAGAAGCTAATGAAAGGTAGATTTTCACAAAGAATGCAGAATTTCTCCTTTTCACAAGGAGTGTGGAATGCTGTCTGTCTTCCTCGGGCTTATTGGTGTAAGAGAAGGTAGGAGTTCACAGAAGATGACACCCAAGGCTCTTCAGTGAACAGATGCAATAAATATCCCAGCATCTTAATAAAGCTGTGCAGAGTGCAAAGGGTTGTGTGAAATACCTGACACAGCTTTTTATCAGAACATTCAAAAATACAGGCAAAGAGAATTAGGTTAGCATCAGGTGAAGGCTCGAAGGAAGAGGCTATCAGTTGGATGTTTGGGGATATTTTTTGTTATTATGGTTGTTATTCATTATTTTGTGTTGGCTGCTGCTGCCATCTACAAGGCTTCTGCAGCACTGGCAGTATCTGCACAGGAGG